GTAGCAGAGAGGACAAAATCTTGGAAATAACAAACTGAAGTAGAATAAACTATTTAACACTATAATTCAATGTAATCTAGTATTTTCTTATGATAAGTAGTTTAAACAATTCACATAATTCAGCAGGTAATAAATTAGAACTCCATGAAAAATCATTTCATGCATTAAAGTGATATGTCAAGATATACAATAGATAGTCCCATTCTAGGACGAAACGGCCGTCCAGTGCTTCCAGGTTTTCCACGGCGGTCTAGATTTAATTGACTCATGATTTCAATTAAAAAATTTAAAAAAATGAATTACAATTCAGTTGTAGACAAAATTCTTTTCAAAATGATCAAAGTCCTGGGAGAGTAATGAATGTGAAGTATTGAAAAGCAGTGAGTGGCGGTTGGTACTTGTATACTGCTCGTCCTGATAACCTTTAATAGATAACGCTCAACGCTCAATAAATCAGGAGCAGAGTACAACTACAGCTATCAAGTCCATATCAAAATTCATCAATATGCATTCGCAGTACATTGATGTTATCCAATATTATCACATTCCTGACTTACAGCTTTCTCCACAGCCATTGCTAAGTCTTCCACGTATTTTGAATTGTCGATTTTAATGCTTCTCTTCACTTACCCGTTTGTTTTTGTGTATTCGGTCTGTGCATCGGCTTTCTCTTTTGCTGTTCGACTGTTGTTAATTGAGGTTTGCATGTTTTTCCCCTCTTGATTCATATCCAGGAATTCGATAGCGACCCAGTTCTGACGATGATATTTATCACAGCGCAGCACCTAATGTAAGTTGAGATTGATGTCTGTTTGAAACCTCTTCAGTTGTTTCTCATAGAAGCTTCCTCTCCTTTAAGTAGATTCTGTAAGGCTTAAAACTTTTTTGTTGAGAACGATCTTGAATTCGTGGAGTTTGTTGGTATCTCAAAGGAAGGTTGTATTGAAGTTTTGAAACGCTGTTTTTCCAGTGGTCCAGTGCTTCTGAGGCTTCAGTTTGACCTTGGCAACCACCAAGTAGTGATCTGAAGCTATATCAGCCTCTAACATCATCCATTGGCCCTTTGAATATTTCGGCGATTCAAATATGATGGATCTGGTTCTCTATAATGTAATCCGGTAGAACCCATGTAGCATTTTCTGCGTTTCTTTGAGAATATATTGCTACTAATAACCATTTTATTGAGTCAAAATAAATCTGTCATCACTTTGGTTTCTTTCTCCTAGTCCATGTCGATCTACTATATCTTGTCACCCAGTGTTGTCCATTCCGAATTTGGAGTTTAGGTTCCCCATCAGAATGATCAAGTTCTTTCCTGAGCACCTCTCTACGATCGATTGCAACCTCTCATAAACCCCGGTATATATATATATATGTAGCTGTGAATACTCAGTAAATGCCCCAATTCAGTTCATTTTCATTCATTATTTCGAACACAAGAACACTCACCCCACGATCCTAAGTCAAATGTTCAAGCAACTCTAATACTGATAAAAAAAATTCAAAGAGATCTCTTAATAACTCTGCTAGTCAAATATTAATTCTCTTCCAACATTATTCTATGCCTGACTAAAGCAACATATATAGATATCGAAACTTTAACTCCTGCTTTCTTATACGTAACCAATTTAGCTTTTGCAGTTAATAAAGCGTAAACAATATTTGAATAAAAATGGTGCCAGTTAGAATAACTTTACAAACCGTCTCCAATTTAAAATGTTTTATTGCATTTCTTTTCTTGAAAAATAGCTTTCTCAACGTTCTCAGTGACAATATGGAGCCAATTTTGTTTTATCAGTATCACAATATTGATTGAACAGAAAGAGAACTTCTATTGTTTAGCCATTGAATATATTACAGTCAACTGAAAATGTCTCAGAAACAGAATTTCGATACTTAAATAGTCTGTATGCACTGTTGTGAATTTGTATCAAAAATAATAATAAAATAGATGAAGACATTTGGTCGAAATGTTTACTACTGTCTTCCACTCTTCATCTGGCCCTTTAATATTAGGATTAGCATCAAGCTGTCCAACAATCTTAAATTTCTCATCAAGGTTTTGCTGTATAAAATGCCGAGGGATTATTAAGAATTTACTGTTGTACGCACCAATAAAAAAACAATAAATATTATAACTTAAAGTTTAACGACGATGTTGTAGACCCGTTTCCAATTAAATGTTTGGCTATATCATTAAGAAAAGCATTCCATGATTACTGATAGAGGCTATCCTACATTGAATGACTACCGAAATAAATGAATTAAATCTGTCTTTGTTTGACACAAAATTATTGAACAATTATTTAACAAAAATATTCATAAATATCCCTTCTAATTCTTTCATACATAACGCTCAATTTATCAATCTTCATTGTTAAGAATTGTGATATTATGACACAACGTATGTACACCATCTTTTAAATGATGTACACTATTATGTATAAGTTGTAAGTAGCTGAAGGGAATCTGCAAAATAAATGAATAAATTTTAATTTAATAGTTGAATTCAAGAATCGATTAAAGCTAGACCACCATGGAAAACCTGGAAGCACTGGATGGGACTCCTCATCAGTGCTCATCCACGATCATGTTTGCCGGATTCCAACCCAGGACATTCGGCCTCGCATTTGATTTATTAACATCGTTGGATGCCAGCTCAATGGTCTACAAGTTAAGCCTGAATATAGCCACAATATCACATGATTTACAGAAAATATCGATTGTAACTAAAAAAAATTTCAGCACACACATTCCATCATATTTGAGACTCGTCAATTGGATGTACTTGTAGATATCAGTATTGATATTCACACCGTGACTCGAACCGTTGTATAAGTCAATACCTATGTGGATAACGTACTCGGTGTTTGACAAGTAGTGTACTGAGCTGGAGTCCTTGTATCAACATTAACACTTAATTACTGGTATATCTGGTGGTTGAAAAATTACAAATATGACGACATAAATATCCTGACTTCTGCTACTAGCCACAATCCATCTATCCCACTTACTGTCATTAACAAACTTTTTGACGTTATTTTCATGTTAAGAAAATTAGCACCTTTTAAAATAGCTAAATGAGTCTAAAAATAAACAAAATTATAACATGTTACAGGTTTAATTCCAAACTGATGATATTATTCAACACTAGTAACCGAACACAAAGTTGTCATGTACATGAACGGATTAACTAAGTATTAATTACTGTTTACACACTCAAATCTATCATACTACTATTGAATAATGACCACATGAATGATCGATCAATGTATTTCTGAGAAAGAAATATAATGATTGCCACCATAACACCGGGATTTCTCAAAACTAGTGACAAATTGCCATATCTGCCTATTAGTATTAACTATGTTGTAATTAGAATAGTAGCAATGGATTTAAAGTTACTTCATTGTTCTCTGTGTCGTTTGCACAGTATTTCGATGTTTGTTGTTAAGATTTCCAAGTATTCTGACGTGAGTGTCCTTTGTAGCCTCATCTTTTGTTCCTCTATTATGTGTTGGTATTTGCAGATCCTGTAATGTGCATCCATTGTCATCAGGTGTACCATTTTTCTTCCACTTTACTCAGCTATTATCCATCCAGTTGATTGGAGGTCTGTATCTTACACTTGTTGGTAGAACATGCTAACAAAGACATTCGTGGAGAAAATACAGTTGTTCTCGAGAACAACTGTATTCTTTGAAAGTTAATAGTTGCATGGTGTAATGCTTAAGTCTTCCTTGTTGTTTATTCAAATATAAAATTGTTTATAATGGTATCAAACAGTTCACCCATGCTCATGGTTTTCAATTGTGGCTTAATTAAAGTTAGTCTGTATTGAAAACTATTTTAAAACTGGAAGTAATCTCAAAGCAAGTGTATATATATCATAGTTTATTCTCAAAGGTTTTTGATATTATCACCAATTTGTTTTATTACTATATTCTTGTACATTAACTTTCTACATTAACTAATCTCATGAGTAATTAATTATTCATAAATATTAGTTTATATTATTTTTCTTATTTTATATCTATAAAACACATAAAGAAAATTCGGATCATAATGTTTGACTATCTTCATTTAGTCCCTGTCATCTTTTTTAGAATAACTATTCAATTTAATGTTGGATGCCGGCACAGTGGTCCAGTAGGTTAAGCGTTCGTGCGCTAGACTGAAGGCCCTGGGTTCAAATCCCGTGAGCAGGATAGTGGGTACGCACTCCTGAGGAGTCCTACAGTAGGACGAAACGACCATTCAGTGCTTCCAGGTTTCCAACGGTGGTCTAACATCAATCGGTTCATGATCTTTATCGAAAACTTAATAATCTCCACAACCCCTATACTGACAATGTTTATACGTTTTGGGAATTAATAAAATTAAGTGCAATATGAACTAGTTTTTCGTTATTTATATAACTGGTACACAAAACGTGGTTTGATAAAATGGAAAATCTGTAAATTTTGTATATTGATGAATATTTTTAGGTTTCAGTCCCATATGCGGGACCATCAATGCGCAGTGATGAGGAATTTCATACAACGACAAAACGGCTCTCCATTGTTTTCAAGTTTCATTGGCGATTTAACAATGACTGGTTTATGATCTTTATAGAATTAAATAATCTACACAACCTTGTACCGAAATATATATTTTTTTCTTTGATTTAAGAAAACACTTAAATAAATAAACCTAATGTATATGGTGTATGCAAATAATTTTTTTGTGTTCATCCGAATGCTTTTGGTGTCAATTCGTTCATTGAATTGTATAGTCTGATTGCTGAACTCTTACTATTGTTCTGAACGACATCAATAACACCTGCTTTTTGTAGATATTTAAACGAATAAGCACCAATGGTGTTGTTCAGAACAATTCTGGAAGCTTGGAGAACTCAACAACATCAAAAACAGATATTTCTTAATCAAATATTCTTTCAGTCTAATTACATATCAGTGGTTAATTTTATTTGTTTCTTTTTCTTTAAACATTTTATTTAGTTAAATCATCATAGCGAAATCAATAGAACAAGTGCTCACAAAATGACTATACGTGAATTAATGCAAATTACACAGCATACTGTAAGTTTTATGTTTTCTTTTCTTTTTTCTCGCTTTCCATTTTCTTTCCACTCGCATCTATTTATCCATTCTTTTTTATTTTTGGTACTAATTAAATTGACAATCGATTGATCACTGGATGGTGATCGATTTCATGTATGACAGGTCTTTCTTACTGGAGATCGATTCCTATCGACCAAGTTACAATGTGGCCCCCTAATTTAAACTATACTAATTCACATGATAAATACATACATTCTTCATACTCGCCTTCTGGTTCACAAATCAATACAAATCAATTCAGATTGACCAAAACTTACTAGGCACTGACATGCTCAGACCTATTCTGAATTTGATAGTACTAAAAATATTCTGCATTGTTTCCTTTGTGTTATTTCATCTCATGTTAATATTATTTCAGTTATTAACTTGTTTACTCTGACGAAGTGGCTTAAATGAAGTTACGAAATGTCAAAAATATAATTTTTCTATTCAATAAGCTAAGAATAAAACTATACTTATTAATATTTTTAATTATTTTTGTTGATTAATTATTATATGTCATAATAACTATGAATTAATTATTAATGATCAATGAATAATAACTAACTTCATTGAATGTATCCAATCAATCGTTTTCCTTTTATCTCTTCAAACAATGTGCTAGTGCTATTTGCTACTTACAAAATAATTATTCCTTTCATTATAAATGATTTCGGTAGAAATTATTTCAGCTTAATATGAATATTACATTCCAGTGTTGTTAACCTGTTATTTTATTCTTTATATTTTATGAGCATACTCAATAATACTTATAGTAGATTGACTATACTATAGTGAACATGAACACAAAAATGAGGACAATCGAATGTATTTGAACATGAAATTACAAAATATCTCACCAAAATCTGAGAACCAAACTGTAATTACTTCGTTTGCAAAATGTCATTTAGTTGTCTCAAACTTGACTGTTTCTTTTACAAATATCAGTTCATCGTCTTAGATCTCATTGTTCCTGCATTTTCATATCAATTTCTACCTGATCCTATCCTTTCCTTCTTGATCTTCTCCTGAAATACATTCTATTCCTGATTATCGTTATATACTGTTTCTGTGGATATAAGTAGTTCATATCACAATACTATGATTAGTATTCTATTATAACATCTAAGTATGAAGTAATGGATAAAGTAACAATACTATATACTTTTATATAACATCGTATATAACTATTCAGCGACTAGGTTATATATATATATATATATATATATATATATATATATATATATATATATATATATATATATATATATATCGCTCTTATTATAAGCTTCATTTTGACCCATAGATTTTTACTATATGATTTACTGTTCATAAATTATGCTCAGTTTACTGATTACAGTTTCCCACGTTCACAGTCACTTTTTGGCTTGAAATTGTATAAATGTTATTTCCAATTTTATAGTGTGATGAGGTCTGTGTGACTAGTATACAAACCAAGCATTTTTGAAATAAACGATCCACATAAAGGAAGCTGTTATTGGCATTCTGGACTCAACTGGACAGGTTAGTCGAACAAAAACCAATAAAGACATTAGACTGCACATACCGGTCCAATATCATTGATTTAGCACAGTACTAAGATTGAATAAGTCATATTTCGATTGACGAATAAATCATGTGATAACTAACCGGGATTAAGGTTACAACAATTTCAATAATAAGCAAAGATGGATAGTGGCTAGCAGTCCTGTCTGGGACTCGTCAGCTGGATGTACCTGCATTTCAGAGTTGATGTTCACTCTGGGACTCGAACTCAGTACCGTTCGCTTCAAACGCCATCGCGTTATCCACTTAGCTACTGAGTCCATCTTTGCTTATAATGCCAGTAAATTAAGGCAATATCGAGGCATACGCACAGTATGCACATATGCCAATAAGAGACTGATCAATTTCAGTCCAAAAACATCAATGGGAAGGTTCAAATAAAACAATATCAAGTGAATTTCAATAATAGTTGTTAGATAATATGCCTCATTTTTACAGAGTACAAGTTTATACAGGTGTCTCATAATTACGTAAGAACTATGCCACTTCAAAAACTGAGATAATTGACTTGGAGCTTAAATCTATACACCGTTTTTTCTAAAATCAATAAGTTTCTAGACTACAAGTCACCCCTTTTACTAAAAAAAACGCTTTATATTTGTATGGATGGATTTAATTGTTCATAATAAATACCCATCAAGTACTTCATGCATTGAAATAAATAAATCATTTATACTTTGTTTGATGATTTTGGTGGAGTTTTGTTCTCTGAGCTGGATGGTTTGGTCGTGGAGCTTCCATCGTCCTTCTGAACGACATCATCAGCACAAACTTCAGGCAGAAGTGAAGTGTTCGAATTTCTCCATATGTGTTTCACAGCTTGTTCTGTGCACCTCGATGCTGATTGGTTTTTATTGACCTTTTTAATGATATATAATTCGTTAAAAACGCAGTTAAAACGAAAGAGTCATTATTCATTAAATTAGTGCATATTGAATAATGGTAATTCAAATCAATAATGGTATATATGGTATATATATATATATATATATATATATATCTTAAATAACATCTGAAGCTTTAATATCAAAAACTGTGTAACAAGAAAGATGAAGGACTAAAGTGATTATTCTATGGCAGTGGCATTCTACCGTCACCTCTTTTCATCTCAGTAATCTTAAGGTTTCAGTAGTGGTATTAGTAGTAGTATTGTAATAAAAGGATCTCATGTATACTTTATCATTCTTTCAATCCCCTTGTTATTCCGATTGTTCTCCATTTTTCTATCCTGTTCTCTTTATTTTAATCTTCTACTGGTAAGGAATCCATTTCCTATTCCCGCTACATACTTCTTATATCTGTCCGTATAAGTAGTAAACACCACAGTATGAGTAGTAGCATTAGTAGTAGTAGTAGTATTTTCATAGTTCTTGTTGTTTAATAATAATTCAAGATTTAACAATCTTTATTAATTTCCAACCTACAAGCTAATAATTTTGAATGTTATAATTTCTAAAAGAAAAAATTACAACTTTCTTAATGTTTCACTGCATAGTTTCGGCATATTCGTTGAAATTCCATGCACATTTTTTCTTAAATATCTTTCAGTTTACCGTCGTTTCTTTTTTGTGCTTCTTGTAACATAAAGACTGTCGTTAAATTTCCGCTTTTTATTCATGCTTCCTTTTTCTACAAAAACATGAAGTCCCTATAAATAAGACATAAACTATTACAGCTTCTATTTATTTAATAAACAATATACTACTTCTTTACTTAGTAGCATCGTAAACGATAGTAAACAGGAAAGATACATGTGAAATTTCATAATAAAATTATGTTCCGACGTGAGAAAAATTATAACTTTTAAAAAAAAAACAAGGTACACCAAATACGAAAATGTACTGATGAAACTTTATTGTGAAAAATCAATGAAAGTCAGTCATCAACATTGAATGCGGTTAATTTCTTGTTAAAAGAAATTAGTCGGCATAGTAACAACATAATTGTAAACGATATATACATATTCACAATAAAATAATTTTATAAGTTCTTACAGTTGGTATATATTCAAAGAGTACTAATGATATAGAAGCTTTTATAAGTAAAACATCACTCCTATAATTATGTTTGCTTATGGTTAATGTTATCAAGCATTTGAATTAACTTATTTAACAGACGGTGTTATTTGAATAGAAACAATTCGTCTATATCTTTGTATGATTTTTACGATCATGTCTGTATGATCACGTATAGTTGATCACATATGACAGTCTAATTGGGTACGCTCATCAATATGAAAATTATTAAAGTTGTTTTATATACATTCACGTGGTAAAACTCGCTTGCAACAGTTAGGATTTTGACATTTTCAGATTTGAACAGTTATCATCAATAACGATCAATAGTAGTCGCAGTACGTAGTAACTTGATAGAAATTTTTGATAAGTAATGCTCTCGCTTGAACCACGATTGTTGTAGGCTAGATATCAGACGGAATCGTGGGTCCTCACTGATAGATTGTCCCGGACTAAAATGAAAGATTTATCCAACCCCTTTTTGTTTTCAGTAGTGATTTAACTGAATTCCATCCTTGATGTCAAATACATGTATACAAAAGGAAATTCTTCTAGTTATCTTGAAAAATATGTATGGTTTGAAAAGAGAAACAAGTAATCTTGACAAACAACGTGAGCTACTCTTGGGGACGTTATTTCATATAATTCGAAGCTTGTAAAATACTAAAATTTATTTTTGTCCATAGTTTATCCTACAGACCAAATCGTCTAATTGGTTCTGAGCTGTCCGTTTTATGCCATGTTTTCCCTCAGATGTCAAGGTCCTCATATTCCCGTCGACCACCAGAAGAAAGAGGAAGGGAGAGAGTAAACAGCCTTGTCTGACTCCAGTCCTTACTTGGAATCCATCTGTCAGCTGTCCTCCATGCACTACATTGCACTGTAGTGCGTCGTATGTGTTCCAGATAATGCTGACACTTCTCAGGAACTCCGTAGTGTCGAAGAAGTTTCCATAACGTCCTCCTATCTACACTGTCAAATGCCTTTTCATAATCAATGAAGGTGATGTATAGTGACGAGTTCCACTCAACTGATTGTTCGACGACGATCCGTAGTTTCACAACTTGGTCCGTGCACGACCGATCCTCATGCAATCCAGTTTGTTGATCTCGAAGTTGGGCGTCTACTGCATCCTTCATCCGGTTCAGCAACACTCTACTGAAGACTTTCTCTGGTGTTGACAATAGTGTAATGCCTCTCTGATTTTCATATTTGCTCAGATCTCCTTTCTTTGGAATCTTGATGAGGTGTCCTTATTTCCAGTCCATCGGCACTTGTTCCTCCTCCCAAATCTTTTTGAATAGAAGGTGAAGAATTTTTGTAGTTACGTCGATATCTGACTTCAGTGCTTCAGCTGGTATGTTGTCGGGTCCTGCTGCTTTCCCGCTCTTGATTTGT